GAACGCAAAGGGCTTACTATTTTATACGATGTTGTAAGTAATGAATAAACAGTATTCGTTAATTTGATATTAGAAATATACAATATACTCTCTTGTCAGAAATTAGATCAGAACGTAGTCGTCATCTTTTTGAAAAATATTATTTTTTGCTTTGAGAGAACCGTCTTATTCAGTTCAACATCGTTCATGAAAAAGTTTATTGCTATCATCATCATCAAACAAAAAAAATCAGTATCATAATTTCTGTTTAGCAAAACACTATATATTTGTGATTACATAGTAGCAAAGCAAATAACATTATCAGCCCTACAAGCAATCATAATATTTGGTGTCCAAATCAAATATGTATAATTCGTTGTTGTTTCATATTTCACATTGTCATAAATATCGTTTAAAATATTTATAATCCCTTCAATTTTACAATCAGTAACAATCCGGTTCTCTGAATAAAAAATAACCAACACGTCAATTACCTAGGAGTCAAATTAGATTGGTGATTAACATGGAAGATATTTGATATTGCAAACAAAACCTATGAAAAAATTGTAAAACTTTTTCCATTAATAAGTAAAACTCAGCATTAAGAATAGAAAACGGGGGAAAAATTTATAAATCTAATTTTTCCGTCGCTCACCTATACATACACAGTACGAGGAGGCGCTGCAAACATGCATATTAATAAATTAGAAATTATCCAAAACTAGTTCCTAAGACTGATTACCAAAGCTCTCTGGTTTATTTCTTATGCACAATTCCAAAGGGAATTAAACGTTAGTTGCATTAAAGTGTACATAAATAAAATATCGATTTTTTTTATTTAAGACTTGAAACTTGTCCTAGCAAATGAACGTTCAATCTTGGTAGTACAGCTTATGCACCATCCAGGATACTGTCAGCTTTCCGAAAGATCGCTTAAAGCGGCCATACATTATTGTTAAAAAGGTTATAAACATATATGTGTTTGTAATAACTGAATGTATGTATTATTCACAAGTGAGGTATTTTCGCTCAATTTTATATTTTTGTATTAAATGTAAATAGGATCTGTGTATATATTAAAACCTGAGCTCAAGTAAGTGTACTTGTGCTCTGATGTTAACTGAAGGAGACTGTGATATTCTGCATGTAATGTGTATTTTGTAAATAATAACCCCCGAAAAGCCTGAGGGGCCGAAAGGGTATAAAAAACATTTCAATGTAATAAGTCAGACTGTTGGTTGTACACCATACCCATTCATTATTACACTTATTTCTTTTTAGCCTTTAATTTTGTGACACATTAAAGTATAAAAACTGTTATATATTCACAATATTATATCTCCTATTATTTATATTACTGTTATTATTATTATTATTATTATTATTATTATTATTATTATTATTATTATTATTATTATTATTACTGAATTGAGAACAGGAAACAGTTACCAATGCCATCTATGTCTGGTTCTGTCAGTCAGAATGCAATAACACTAGTAGATCATACTGATGTTTTTTAAATTGACACATTTTGCCTAAAGATGGGGAAAATCAATACCCAAAACGTCGCATCATTTTAATAATGTTTTAAATGTGATTATATTGAGTAAACTGGCAATCAAAATTCAAGCCTAAGAAGAAATAAAGTGTTTAAAAAATTGCCCGAGTAGCCGTTTGTGGCTTCCATCTAGTAGTCTAAACGAGTAGTCGTTTTGTGGCTTCCATCTAGCAGACAACTGATGATGATGGCTAAGCCATCGAAAGCTGCTTTTGAATTAAAAAACATTGTTGGCAATGACAACATCTTTAATTATTTTAAAAATGCCAAAGATATCTTACCACAACACCTATATATAACAGTTTTTATTACTTAATGTTAGTCAAAAATTGAAAGCCAAAAAGAAATAAGTGTAATAATAGAATTTGAATCATAGACACAACTTACTTTCAACCATACCCATCTGACAGAAATTTACATAAATTACTCTATAATCAATATTTCGTACTTATTTGCTCTTGTATAGTTTCAATTTTTGTTTGCAGAGTTTGATTATAATATGTTGATCTACAGGGTAAGTTATATGCTTCCTTATCGATTGTCTCAGAATGTTTACACCGTATGCAACATTATATATATATANATATATATATATAATCTGTAGAAGCGAGGTGAATTGATGAAACCATTAATGGCATAATATTCACTGATTAAGGGAAGAGAACCATATTATGTACACAGTGGACAGTATGTTTAAAGTAAATAAAATGTTCCGAATCACCCCAAGTGTTTGCATGTATTAAAATACAGAATACAATAATTATATAAAATAGGAGTGGGAATACAAGAAATTTGAAATGATCACAGAATTTAATTATTAACTGACAGTTCTTTGTTATCCGTCAGAGTAAATTTTATACAAAGTATGTAATAAAAGAAATAATGTGAACAGCACTAATTATGAATTAAACCAGAATGCAAATATCACATTACAACGAACAATTATCTTTCAAATTAATTGCGATTCATTTATATTTATTTGGAGATTAATAGAATTTGATATTTCAGGACGCAAAAAAGTATGATCTAACGACGTGGGTGCTCAGCAAAACTAATACCCAATAGCACTTCATAAAATTGATAACATTCATATTTAACTAGTACATATGGCATATTTTCCACATAACACTAAACTAGAAAGAGCTCTATTATATCAGGCCGAATACCAAGACGGTAATATTTTTAGAACGCTTGGTTTTAATTTCTCATATGCTAGTACTCAACTCTCGTGGATAACTCTTAAAAACAGATTTGTGCATGAGGAGCAGCTCAGGCAAAGAAGATTATATCAAAAACTATCCAAACAATTCACGACGCACTGCGATACAACGCGTGTAAGTTTGAAACACGACACACTGCGTATAAGTTTGAAAGTTTTTAGTTTACTTACGATTATGTTTACTTACGTTTCTCAAAGTGATTCAAAAGGTTTTGTATATGTATTGAATTTACAATTTGTCGCCGATTTTCCAGGTCAGGCCACTAGGTTTGCTAGTAAGCAGTTGACTCCTATTAACAGTATTAGAAAGGTTCAGTGTGCTGTATTGCTTCTATAGTATTAGACTATCTTGAGCAATAGAGTTGTGTGGTGGGGTTAAGGGGTGGAGGGCAGAGAACGAGGCGATCGGTCGTAGCAGTGGGGTAATCGGTTTTTGCGTATTAATTAAACACATCAGATGAAGTTAAATTTAGACATTTGTACGTTTGTCAACCATTTGACACACAAAACACTATCATTCTATATTTTTCACACTTTCGTTTTATATTTTTAAAATTTTCAGTAATTTAGCTTACATGAAGGTAATGAACGTTTTCACATAAAAAAGGTTTCATTTGAAATATTTTCTTACTACTGTAGTTTCCTTCTACAATTTCTTTTTCATTCGTTCCAAACTATTGATTGATCTTATTGATCTCACAACACTATTGATTAAAATGATGTTTTCCTTGTCTTTTCGCTCATCATTTATTGATAGTCTGTTCTGAAACGTGATACACGCTACTTGGATAGAATGTATTTGACTTCATTTTCACACAACTTTCATTTTCTTATTATTTATCGTTTTGTTATAGTCGTCTTGTTTTGTAGCAATTTCTTAAAAAAATCTCTCCTCTGTTTCGTATTCCACTAAAGAAAAGAAAAAAAATTGTTCTCGGACGCTTGCTACGGGATTAACGTTTTACTGTATCTATTATTGCAAGACAGATATATACAGAAGAGCAAAAACAAATGGTACAACCATACGTATTGAAATAAAGAGATCTGGAACCAATCAGAATACGGCGCTCCGGTCGCTAACGACTGTCCATATAAGATATTTCTTGTTATGCAATAATCAGAGTCTGTGTTATTGCATAACAAGTTTGCAATTGTAAAAACGTAAGTCGTAAATTCACGTAATATGCTGCAGTTATATTATACAGTGAGAAAATGCCTACTTTATTATGATTGTGATGTAGAAATATTGTTATTTTTAATTATTCTTCGTTTAAAAATTCGAAACAATTTATTTGAACTATAGACTGAATGAGATTAAGAATTTTGCAAGACATTTCACACGTATAGAGATTATTATAACTTGAAATGTATGGGTTTTGGAAAATTTGATTTGCTTCGAAAATCCAATTCTTTTTAGTAATTGAGACACTTTGATGACAATTATTATAGTCACAACAATTTGATAATCAAGACTTTTAATACAAGTGATAATCGTTAAAACAACAACATAAACGTATGATCATAACAAAATAACAGTATGATCTAATTTTGGGATGATCCATGCGATTTTTCACCATATTCACAATGGCACTACTAGGCAAAGAAACCGCTAGAAATCTCAAGAACACCTCGCACGCTGACTCGACCTCTTGGCTCTTCGATATCCTGCAAGAGTGAGAAACCTGACACACATTAAGTGGAAACATCGCGTAGACTCTGTTGCAATTTTGTACGTTAAGTGACATTCCAAGAAATGTCTCTAGGCTTCTCTACAGCTTCTTCAATGGGTTACCGCTGTAGTAGAAGAGTAATGACTTTTGAGACATCTGATTTCGTCCCTCAAATAAGACATTGCAATATCCAAAAATGCTTAGGATTGCGATGTTCTGAGAGAAAATTCATAGAAATGGTCTTGTGTGAACAAGAAATATATTTTTGTGTTGATTCAAGTACTGAAACGAGCGCAGTTTCATTTTGGAGGATAATTAAAACTTTTAAAACATAATTATCTCCTTATATTAAAAATTGTCGAAAATCTCTTAAATAACATCCCCATGCATAATTCAATTCATAAATGCATATATTCTTAATAAAGTGCGTTTACCCCTTTATGTTTAACTAAATAAAAGTTGTTTACGCCACATTTTAAAGCGACACTCCGAGTTTAAAAGACCCCCCCCCCGTTGTGATTTGTTCACGGTGGCAACCCTAACGTGGAGAACAGGAGCGCCGGCGAGAACTCACTTGTAGTTGGCCATGACGAGGTTGAGGTCCTGGTAGGGCGAGGGCGAGGGCCCGGACTCCTTCTTCCAGAGCACCGTGGGCGGCGGGGAGCCCTCGGCGGCGCACGGCAGCGTCACGGCGCCTCCCATGGGCACCTCGGCGTCCACCGGCTCCGCCACCCACGTCGGCGGCACTGCGCACGCCGCACGCGCCACGCTCACAGAACACTCGTTGCGCACTTCAACTATCTGTACACTTATATGTAGACATGTTTATATAGCGAAAAAACAATAAAAACTTAGTGAGGTAAAGGGGAAGAGATTGTTTGTGTTCTTTTTAAATGAATATTTAATGCAGCACTCGTATGTTTGCGGATTAGATTAAATTTACTTTACGGGATAACACATGTCCCACGAGAAAAATTACATTAAATTCGAACCAAAATGCAATTTTTTTATATCTTGTAGTTCATACCAGTGAGATGATATTCTTTCGGGGTTAACATAAGAATAATAAAGAAAGATAACGAATAGAATTTCAAGATAACAAATAACACAGCAAGATACTAGCGTTTCTGCATTAAACGAGATGCGGTGTTTCCTGAATTTTCCCTTCAATACCTTGTCGGCTTTCTATCTTATCCTCTTTACTGACGTCTTTCAAAATTGATCTTCTAAAAGGTCGCAGATTTATTATTTATTGTATGATTATAAAGTGTGTTGGAATAACTTTTCTTTTTTAAAATGCTATTATTTTTCCCGAAGCTTTTTTTCTTACTGGATCTAGAAATGAATTAAATACAAGGCGGAAATTGATTGCAATACAAGGGAACGGAAATAAAAAATGGAAAATTGAAAAGAGGTAGAGGAAGTTTAGAAAAATATTTCTGTAAAAACAGGCCACGGAAAAAATGCATCAACGTGGAAAATTATAGTTGAATTTTTAAAATTTGCTCGGTGTGTCGGAGCTTATTTTCATTCGGAATATTTTTTTGAAATGACAACGCTACACACGATGATTCAGTTCATTCATTCTTCAATTCTCCTGTATGTACCACGTGTGGCACACAGGCTCTCTGCAATTTATCATCATTTAAAGGAGAACGCGCAAATAGGTCGGAACGTTTAAATTCTAAAGCAAAGAATCCACGATTGTATGTATAATATTGTGTGCCTGATAACCCCTGATTTGCACGAGCAATGAGACGAGTGTCCCGCAGGCATCGTTTTTTTGCCAACTAGATTTCGATTCAAATAGCTAAAGTTACAGGTAACAATGTATCGCAGGCAATCACAAAGAGAAGTGTCATCGAGAACAACACGTTGCTTTTAAATATGATATACAAAAGCAGGTCAGTTACGGACCGATCTCTCTTCTATTCCTTATATCTCTGAAATAAATATGGAAAATAAAAACACAGTGGCGTGATAATTAACTTCCTGAAGAATTATAAAAATACATGGAAATCATTGAGAAGGTAATTAAAATGCAAACACTTTGGACCGTTGCTTATTTTTTATTCTTCTTTCCATTTTAAATGGATTTAATAGATTGGATTTAATATGACTGTACATTGAAAAAATAGAATAATTCATATTGAAACAATTACTCAAAATTATTCTTCGTAAGGTATTGAAAAATGTGACCCTGTGAATTTGATTTCGAAAGAAAAGATAAATTCAGTGTAAACGAACGCAAACACAAACAGTAGTAAGTATTTGGATAGAACATTAAGGAAGGTAGTACGTTGTAAAGCTCATCCAGAAGACAAAGCTCATACGTTAAGGGCAGGATTATATGATTATGTATGATTACGTGGAATTTTAACTTGCTTTTCTTAGGTAGTGACACACGTTTACTTCTAATCGCTCTACGTGCTTTTATTACACAGACTAATTTCATACGATATCACCATTTCAAACAAAACTGTTTCTCGACGTAACGGAAAACTCATTACTCCGCTGCTTTTCCAAGAAAATATAAAAACAATAGATTAAAGGATTTGTGTTTGCCCTGTATTTGTACGGGAACGAACTTTTTTAAATCATTTTTCTGCACTGTAACGCGGCAAAAAGCGCAAAGCAACCTCATTCGGTGTTCACTGGTTTACCAGCTAACGAAAGTTTGCCCCACGTTTTACACGATGCGGGCCAGCCATATGAAGTCATTTCTGATCAAGTAAAATCTGTATTCATGACCCTCGCGCTTTGTTTACATGTATTCCGGTTCATTAAAACTTCAGATAATGTATTGTGCACGCAAACAAATTATTTGCGTTAACCTATGTGTCGGTTATTTGCATTTTAAATAATTAGTCATAAACGGAGCGAAACAAATGGCAAAGTGAGATTACGCCGCCTGCGGTAAGAGGCAGGGCGCCCACGAACTCGCCGCCCCGCCCGCAACAAATCAAGCATCGGCGGGGGAACCGTGTCGTGGGACACTTGGCAGCCACCGGTTGCGCGCTCGCACTGGTCGACCACTGCGTCTGCACTAGCATAAACACAAACTTTGCACAGGCTGCGGGCGCGCGCCCGCTCGCACGCCGTGCCGGCCTCGCGGGCCAGCGCTGGCCACGGAAGGCCACACGAAGAGGGGATATCGAGATGGAGAACGAGAGGGAGAACGACAGGGAAAAAGAGAGGGAGAACGAGATGGAAAGCGAGAGGGAGAACGAGAGGGAGAACGAGAGGGAGAACGAGAGGGAGAACGAGAGGGAGAACGATAGGGAAAACGAGAGGGAGAACGAGAGGGAAAACGAGAGGGAAACGAGAGGGAAACGAGTGGGGAAAACGAGAGGGACAACGGGAGGGACAACGGGAGGGACAACGAGAGGGACAGCGAGTGCGGAGGAAGTGAAAGGGACCGAGGGGAAGCGAGTGGAATGATTTCAGTATCTGACCGTGAGTGGTCAGTATGAAAAAAAGGATGAGCGGGTAGATAGAAGATAATTACGATGAAGACGATGAAATAGTAATTGAGTTATGGAGGAATAAGAGGCCAGGCCCAACGGGAGAATCTCGACACCACCGCGCACTGACTTTGTTCACCGTACATTCAACGGGGAGTGATCAGAATTTGAACACTGCTATTCGGTAGTAGGTATTTGCGAAAAGGTAGAGATGGACAACGACCTTGCAGTTACAAGGAGTAAGTAAACGCCAGTAAATAATAAGTGGAGGTGAGTGCTTTTGAAACTATGAACACACACAGAACAAATTCCGTGGGGGTAGCAGATATCTGGTGGTAATCCATAATATGTGGTAATCCATAATAACTTTTGTGGAGATTATTTCCGTTACCATCACATAGATCCATTGAAACAGAATATTGAAAGGACGGACGATGAAAAAGACAAGTACTTAAACTGTGAGGAGGAACGAGGAGTTTGGTGAGTGTTGGAAGGCGAAGTAGTAGATACGCAATTGCAACTTACATGAGTCGACGAGAAAGCTGTTACTATCATAACAAGCAGAAAACATAAATGAGCATTTAAGAGAGCTCTTATTACAAGTCAAAAGAACTGGTGAAGGGAAGTGATATTGAAGAAAGAATGGTAAAGCCTCAGGAGAGATTAAAATTAAAGAAGGACGGATGAAGAAAGGGAGACAGAGGGACAAGAAGTGAAGTGAATACCAGTGTAGGTAACGGGGAAGCCTGTAGTATGCAGGAGTCGGTGCGGAGGTGTGGGAGCGAGCGAGCGTTCGCTCGGAAGCAAGGGATGGTGGCGGATGGCACCGCGAGGGAGGAGCAGGAGGAGGTAGAGGGAGGGGGAGCATGGGGAGCGTGGCAACGCTCGCGTGCGGTGGGGAGCCGGGAAGCCACCGGCCCGGGCCAGCCACTGCAAACCGTATTGACGCAAGGTTTCGCACGCTGCCACAGACGTCAGCGGACGTGACAGAGATATCAAGGCGCATTAATGTAGACAGAAGTGCGCTCTCCGCGTGTGGATTTTGTCCTTAACCCGGCGCCGTCGGGGCGCACCGCTCCGGAGAGGGTGGCGGGCTTAGAGGGAATGGCGCGGGTGTGATTGAGGTGTGACGGGCGTTTAACGGGATCTCTGTGGTGGTCGCTGCGGTGGGAACGCCCGCAAGGCGGCGTGGGCGGCGGCGGCGGCGGCGACGGCGCGGCCGCGCGGACGGTAGGAGGCGGTGCCTTGTACGGCGTAGCGGGTTCGGAGGGGGAAGGCAATTGGGGGCTTGCGTTCACGCTCGTGGTGGCAGATCGCCCAGGGCCCCCTCGAAGAGGAGTGTGTGTGTGTGGGTGGGGGGGGGGGACGCAGTGGTCTACCCGTTCAGTTGCTGGGGCGTCTACGACGCTCAGCGGTGGGTGACACCAAGAACTTATTGTTTGTTTTGAATGAATTGTTTTGAAATTGAAAACTATATCATTTCGTAAAATTCAAAGAAACAAAATGGAACCGTATTTGAGAAAATAATTGGTTTAACCATTTTAAAAATTGCGTATATTTCACGCAAAATTACGCCAAAACTAGTTATATTTTTGAAAATTTGTGAACGTAACAGTATTTGAAGATCTGTCTTTAAAGACAAGTTTTCATTTAGGAAAAAAATCTCTACCTTCAACATTGTAATTGCAGGAAGTCGCCGAATAAAGTTTGGACTTTTGAAATTTTTGACAAATCAGGAATTCAAAGTAAATAAGACTTGCGCTATCCTTTTGAGAGTTGTATACGCTATTCGACGACAAAGTTTAAAAAAATTGGAGCTAATTTTGAAGAAGTTTTGAAATTATTGTTAGTAATTTTTTCTTCGGGTATAGCAAAGGACGCTGGAAATGGTACAGGTTCCATTTTATAGAATCTCTGTATTTTCGACGATTGCAAAAAAATTAACACTACAAAAATTCAAAATTGAAAAGAGAAATTTTGTCTTAAATGAATTATGTTTTAAAAATCATATCTTAAAAAAATCGTATAATAGTTTTGAAAACTGATAAGTTTTTGCGCAATTTCTGCTTGAATTTAATGCAATTTATAAAAAAGAAATTCAAAACGGCTCCAAATTTCCTGATATACAGTAAAGGAGGATAAAAATGAGGCAGGTCTATTTTTTGTTGAAATTTTTGAATTTTCAATAACCGCATAAGGTAGAAATAATACGAGAAAGTATGTAATGCTGTAGCACCACTAGTTTAAAGATTAGGTCACCTTCTCTCAGTCTAGCAGATGCAGACATTTGTTTCATATTCAGCCATGCATTTCCGAAATTACTCTGTTGCATTCACTGGTCTAGAACATAAGGTTTCTTCACGCAAACAGCCAGTAAGATTTGATTGGTCTTTCGCGAGTCACGACACAGGAGAACTCAAAACAGTAAATAATTAAAATGTGGTTAAAAAAATGATATAATAAAAAATATTGTGATCGCAATAAACATTATTTTCGTACTATTTTGATATCAGTCCAGAAAGGATATCGTAAGAATGTTAATATTAGCTGAATGGTAATATTTACTGTGATTACAAATAGCGGTAACCAGCTAATCTAAGCAGCGCGTATATTTTAATTGATGTTGTGGTCATTATTCTGCTCTACTTTTCTAATATTTCGTTCTTCATACGTTGCATTTGTCTTACTGCATTTATGATAAAATTCAGCATTAATATGTTTGTTATAAAGACACTAGTTTACCATCAAACATGCTTTATTTAAAGTAAGTATTGATGTGATGGTGTCATAACAGGAGTTGCACAAAATTGTGTTTTTTGGTGTCATTTATCTTTCACATTAAGCTGTTTGATTCTTCTTGTTTTGGATCTTTGGACCATTGTTTTATTTTGAAATGTGTTAAGGAAATAATATATTCAAATTAAGTTATTAACTACAATTCACTACATCGGAGTTTGCGTGGATATTTCATTTGTTATAAATTCTGCTGCGGGATACATGAAGCAGCTGTTCAGCGTAAATTGGTCTTTTACTAGCGTAATAACACAACCGAGACGCTACTGTAGTTATTCACGGTGTTCTGCATACAGTTGCATCGTAATGAGCTTTTGACATTATCAATACTCTGTAATTTATGACGAATACAGCTCAGCGGAGGATTATGCCAATAATTTCGAAACCATCAATTTGTTTAATCGATTACCCATTTTCTCATCTCTTTCTCTTCACATCCACTATTAATATCTCTCTTGACACTATAGCGATAATAAAGTTATATCCATTTTATTAGCATTTCCGTAGAAATCGTCTTTTGAAACTGAGTACATACGGCAAAGTCCACAATATTCTGTGTAATCTGGTTATTACAACGTATTATGCTGTTACACAACACGAATAAATATTTTGAAACAAGTGTGACGTTTGTGTATTGTATTGTTCTAATTGTTTTTGTTAGTGTATGCGTTTTATTTCGTGGTTATTACCAGTGCGCGGCGCTTTAATTATACCGTGCGATGCTATTAGATCTCACTTTGTGCCACAAACAAACGCCTCTTGTCTATGAAATCATGAATCTTTCTAATTATTTAAGAAGAGTGTTTGCATTAGTTAAATTGGAGGAGGGTAGACGTAAATTCAGACGTTGGGGAAGTAAGGAGTATTTTCCATCTCCCCCTGGTAGGAGGAAATCAATAAAACACAATAAACTAGTTCCGGGGGTACGGAATGTCTACAGAAAGGCACGTGCAAGTTATCGTCCAATTTAGTTCAGACAATGGTATTGTGACAGTCTCCGAGAAAAGCTGCTTTTGTAAAGGCACCTTTAACTCACCTGCGTTTGACGAAGCAAACAAGGGTTGAAAGCAGTACGACACGAGAGCTGGTGTTCTCGTTCCGCATTGTGGGAGGGTGATGCTGTTACATTGCAGTTATTGTTCTTTTCTTTCATGAGCACAATGACACAATGCACTAGTAATTGTAGTTTCTTCATAACTTTAGTTATCGATTTCCTTGTATTTTCTTCTTTCTAATCACGACAGGGATGGATACAACTTTGACAGTTTTGTCAAGGCTCAAAACTTTTCAAAAGTTTATAATGTGTATTGGCACATAGATAAAGTAAATGGCAGTGTAAGGTTGATAAATATCATCGAATAGCCCGAAAGTGTTAGCATGTATTGACTGTTATTATAAATTATTAGATTTATTTTCAAAACTTCTGTATAGTCCAATTTTTAAGAATATAAAAT